ACTTGACCCTTTCAAAGAGTTCTGGGCTGTCCTTCTTAGCCATCCAAGGAATCCTAAAGATTCTTCTGTAAAACCACATCTCCAAGGCCTCAAGATATTGTTCGGCTTGTTTATTAATTGTCCAGGATTCACAGCCGTATGTTAAAACTGGCTCTATATAGCATGCGAGAATTATTTTTCTAACTTCCAATGACATGGATTTATTGCACAAAATGTTCTTCATTTTATAAAAGCCAGTTTTAGCCTGTGCTACTCTGTTATTTATCCCTGTGACAGCTAGTGCACCCAATTAACAACACTTTGATCAGATTCTGGCTCTGGTAGTGGTTAGGATCCTTTTCACAAATTCTAAAATTATGAATGATAAAAAAGATGCATTATACATACGGCTCTATGTTCACTTGAGACTCCCCTTTGTTTAAGAGTTTCAACAAGACCAGACACATCATTGTTGCTGTGGCTCTCATAACGCAGGGCATACAACATCACCAGCCTCAGCATGTCAATGTGTCGGACTTTGTCACTGGCAATCAGTGATCGAATGCGCTATATAAAGAAGCAAATGTAAAACTGAATTCACCACAAATCTGCATTAAAATATAGTGTGGGTACATAAAATACACAGAAGCATACAAATGCAGGCTTGAAGAACCACTTTGCCTGTAGTTAAACTTTAAAATCGTCCCTGATTTGTGAATATGGCGATTCTCTGGGCAACAGGTGAAGGGTAGCCAAAACAAATCATGCACTGGTAACATTAAAACGTGAGAAAATATTTCATCTTGAAATAATAAGCACAGTAAAATGATTACATCATGCTGAAATATCAATCAATCAGGTACCATTTCTACAGTGATGGTTGGCTGCAATGGATCTGTAATTATATCTCTCATTTTGATTTTACACTCTCTAAGACTTGTTTATTCATCTGTCTTTCCTCCAGTACATATTTTAAAAAGAGTGTTAAGTCTTCTAATGCTGCCAAAATATTTCACTTGTTTCTTTTTCATTGCTGGCAGCACCTCTCTTTAAGGCTGAATTATAGTATACAATACATAGAAAGTATTATAAACAGTGCCTATTTTTAAAAGATTCTTTCTTCTCATGCTTTTGGCTCACTGGGTATATGGCAGTGACTCCATATTTTTTATAGACCAACTGGCAGTCAACGGGTGACGTAGTCAGCATCACAACAACCTTTACTTTCCATTAGATTAGCTGGTACCCATTTTGGGATGGGTCAGCTTGGGAGCCAGACATATATTTTTTTCCAATATACATAAAACTAAGAGTGCAGCCTCTGGACGAATAATCCATTCCTGGAAGATATCAGATCATGCACACTTGATCATTACAGGAAAAAAAAGTTGATCCAGTTTATTTCTGATGTCACTCTTGTGTCCAGATATAAAATGCAATCCTTGTCTTAGTTATGGATATCATTAAAAAAAAATCTCTTAATTATTTTTAATAAAATTTTAAGTCATGGTTTAAAATTGTAGATGACTATTTGTAAAGATAACAGCTAAACTCATGTACTGTTTGAGAAGAATTTTTTTTACATATAAGGAAATAAAGTTTCTTGATACATTAACAATCTAAACTGCTGACAGAAGAGGCATAAAAAGACAATCTGCAGTGTGATGTCAGCAGCTTGTGAGAATAGGTCAATTAGATCATATAATTGTTGTTCCACAAGTTGTTTGTTTTAGTTTAGATTTTTTAAATATTTCTTAAAACCTTTCCGCATCGTTGATGTTTTCAGACATTGTTCATTTTTGTGTATGATGATGCTCAAAGAGGATAAAGTGTTAACACAGATAACATATTACAACAAATGATGTTGAAGTGAAAAAAGACAGGAAATAAAAATAAGAGACCTTTAAACAGGTATAGCCTATAGGTTCTATGTGCTTACCTGCAATAGTGCAGAGTGGTCTCCATGACAAGCTATTTCCTGCTCTGTCTCGGAGACTTCCAGTAACAGATGTGCTCCCACCAGACGAGAAAGCTCCCCTACAACTGTCACATGTTTGGAAACGGTACCTGACATTTTCTTGAACTGTGGGTAGTTTTCTACAAATGCCTATGAAAACAAAACAGATTATTACAACAGTGTTCACTTTCTATTGCTGATGTTAGTTAGTTAGTTAGTTAGTTGGGTTATCATCATTGCACTCCGGACATGTCCATAGGTGCTCAGATCCTCCCCTCAGTATGAATCCCAACGTCCGATGGCTAATAGTACCAGTTCTATGTTGATTAACAAATCTTCTGACGTGTCCGGTGTGCGTCTCGTTTTTTGCTGTGCCGATCTTAATTCCCAAGTCTGCCATTCTGGCGAGTGATGTGGATTTACTGCCACCAAAGTCCTCTATCCTTCCCATTTCTCTGAGGGCATTGATAATATCAGCATGATCCATAGGCCGACCGTCGGTAGTGATAGCGGATCCAGCCAGCCTGTCAGCTCTTTCATTTCCATCGACGCCTGCGTGTCCCGGAACAAAAATAAAGGTGACTCCTCGCACAGTGGACTTCTGAATTGATTCAAGCCATTGTCTTCGCACTGAACCTGCCTGAACCCTCCGGATCATACTCATTGAATCACTGAGTATACATATGCGGGTGTATTTTTGTGTTTCAAGCCAGGCAAACGCTTGCGTCACTGCCATCACCTCCATCGTCATGCTGCTGGTTGTCATGGAGAAGGCGCCGTTGGCTTCTTTGACTGTTCTGTCCGCTGAGCGTGCTGTAAATGCCCATGCGCTTCTTCTTTGGCGTATAACGGATCCGTCTGTATAGATTAGTGCATCTGCTTCGTCTGAATTTTCACCGATGAGAGCGTTGACCTCTGCATTAACAGCAACAGGATTCTCTTCTCTACATCGCCTGTTGAGTGTGACAATACAGGAAAATGTACAAATAAACGCCTGAGGCACAGGTATCCATTCTGCACCAGGTATGATGTCGGTTAGGCTGCATATTTGCCTAATAACATCTTCTGCTGATGTACCCAGGGAAAACTCAACCCTTTCACCTCTCAACCTGCCTTGTTTACTCCAAAGGAAAGGTAACACCAGTATATTTGGAACAAAGCAGGATGCAGAAGCTGCCGGATCTAAGGGCCTAGTCTTCCCTGCCGTAACAGTAAGTTTTCATGTTGCACTTCCTCTTCCTTGGATCCACCCCAATGGGTTCCTCCGCCCGAAGCTAATGGCACAATATGGGATTTCAGGTTTGGAATACGCCGCCCAACATTCGGCGAAGACAGAAGACAGGTGGTACCAGCTAGTGTTATACTGTAGGTCAGTCATATCTGACCAAGACCTGACCTTCTGTCAATGTTTCACATGCATATAACACCATCATCATCATCAGGTGCCTTGCCGATTGGCGTGGGCGATCATGCCTCCCCATAATCTGCGATCTCCTGCAGCATGTATTAGTTCGGGTGCCGACACACCTCCATGCCATGCAACAAGACTGTCAAGCATCTTCTCTCGTTGTCTTCCTCTATCTCTTTTTCCACAGATCTTTCCAGTGGTCACAACATGTTCTATTTTCCCTCTTCTCATAACATGGCCGAAAAATGATGACTGTCTCCTTCTGATGTCTCTGATAAGCTGTCTTCGGGCTCCCGCCTCTTTCAAAACCTCTTGGTTGTTCTTTTTGGCTGTCCAAGGTATTCTAAGCATTCTTCTGTAAAACCACATCTCTGAGGCCTCTAAAAATTGTTTGGCCTGCCTACCGATTACATCCATATGTTAAAACTGGATGTATGTAGCAAGCAATAATTCTTTTTCTAACTCTCAATGGCACAAGATGTTTTTCATTTTATAAAATGCAGTTTTTGCCTGTCCAATTCTGTTTCTTATTTCAGTTATGCATCTTCCATCTGATGTTATCCATGTGCCCAGATACTTAAATTTCTGTACTTGTCCTAAAATAACACCATTGACTTTTATTACACATTTAGGAATAATTTGTTTCTTTGATACCACCATTACTTCAGTCTTCCCATTATTCAAACTAAGGCCCATTCTTCCACTTTCTAACACCACAATGTCTATCATTTCCTGTAATTCTTTCTGACTTGTTGCTATCAAGACTGTGTCATCAGCATAACGTAAATTGTTTATATTGTGCCCACCAACCACAATTCCGGGCATATCAATTAAAGATCTCCTTACTATATTCCTTCCCACCCGAGTAAATAATTATGTGCTGATCTGAATACTTTTCCCCTGCTCCTGGCCATCGCATTTCACTAATTCCTAATATGTTGATGTTCATTCTCTTCATTTCCATCATGATGTTATCCAGCTTTCCGTTTTGTATGAGTGTTCTGACATTCCATGTACCAATGTTCATGATGTTTCTACCATTAACTTTTTCTACAGTAGCTGGATGACGGTCGGGTATCACCCGTAGAGCATGATGCTCCCTACCGGACGAGGTGATTCAACCGGAATCCCCATTCACGTCGTTCTCTAAATACATATTATTTTGAGGCATGATTTTCTTGGGATAATACAGCGGTGCTTTCCCCTTGCCTTCCGCCGGTTTGTATATGGTTTGACTCCAATAGCCTTTGTCTAAAGAGACTTACCCTGCAAGGCAGCAGGGGGGAGAGGAACTTGCTAAAGGCCACCTTTGCCTTGGTGACTATTGTTCTAATTTCTGCAGGAAATCGTGCATCAGATGTCTAACCTCTCTCTCTCTCTCTCTCTCTCTCTCTCTCTCTCTCTCTCTCTCTCTCTCTCTCTCTCTCTCTCTCTCTCTCTCTCTCTCTCTCAGTCACCCACTCACCCACTCACTCACTCCCTCACTCTCTCTTTCACTCACTCACTCACTCACTCACTCACTCACTCACTCACTCACTCACTCACTCACTCACTCACTCACTCTCTCACTTACTCTCTTTCTCACTCACTCACTCACTCACACTCATACGCACAAGCACAACCAGTGACAAAATTTATTATCTCGTAGATAAGTACCTTCATATCAGCAATAGACTCCACTTTTGCTTGACTTTTAGACTTTTTCTGAAACTCTTCCATCAGTTCTTTAATGTTAGATCCAATTTCTCCAAAATTCATGTACATATTCTTAAAAAAAAAAATGTAAAAACAGGCTTGAAAATAAAAGGCATCTTTGAGCTATAAAACTAATTTTAGCTATTTGTTTTATCTTAGACGAAGACTAACATATTCGTTCACCCAAAATGTGCACACAAAATAAGTATATGTGCACAAATACTCTTAAACTAATTCTAAATCGTGGGGGGAAAGCTAGCTACTATGTGAATAACTGATATTCAAGAATTCCTTTGAACAGCAGCAACAGGATAACTGTTTATGGTAAAAAGAGACAGTTGTCCTTACAGTCTGATATAAACACACACACAAGCATTTCCAATTTTTTTAAAAATATATTTAATGATTAATTTATATATATTGTGATCTTCTCTGCATACTAATATCTCTTTTTTTTTTTAACTATATTTTGTTTAAACAAATACTCTCATTATGTTCTCTATGCAATGCATTTACATGATAATATTCAAAATAAGGCTGCACCTGTTGCTTTCTTTTTAATTTACATTATTCAAACTGCTTTTTTGACCAATTTGAAAGCAAGAAGGTCACAATTTAGTAGCAACTGTGACCAGTTAGAAATTAGATCCTGCTTTTACCTAAGCAGGGGAAGAAAATGTGAGACATAATTTTCAATAACAAACTTTATTTTTTTTTATAATGATTCCTTTTTTGGGACTATCTTCACCTTCACCTTGTAGAATTATTGGGGTTAAATTGTGAAACACTTAAGAAAATAAAATCTTACATTAGCATAGAATTCATCATGCTCAGCTGACAGGACTACCTCCTGCAGATCTTTGGAAACCCCTGGAATTGATGACAGATTAATGCGGTTGTTGGAGATGGTCAGCAACTCATGAACCATAGCTTGATAAGTCCACTAAAAACCAAAAAGCAAAAATTATTTTTATATGATTCTCATTCACAATTAGGATATTAACATAAGATCAATTTCTTCATTGTATGTTGCAAAAAGTGACTGAATGGCTAGCGCAAAAAATAAAAAAACATACAGAATACTAAATATGGCATATGTCCTGGCTAGCCAAACCTGCTGAAAACCCGACAGACCAGATCTGAAGGGCTTATTATGTAAGGAGATAAGATCGAAAATGCAGTAATAGCTTTCACCCTAATGAATAATGGGCTAAAGGAAGACAATAAGATAAGTATCTGAATAGCTAGACTAAACTGAATAATAAGAAAGAAGCCATATTTGCAATTCTCATGAATATCTGGGATGGCCAACAAGTATACTTACACATGCTAATGACAAATGAGAAATAAATATTTAATAACACTTTAGACTAACGAACAAAGGAACAAACTTTATTTCCAAAGGGTTACAAACTGGGCACACAGGCCCATCTTACATGGTGGACAGCAGAGGCAGAAAAGGCAGGGAAGTTAGAGAGAGCTGCAGTAAAATAATAAAAGAAAATGCGACAAACATCCATAAGCACACAGGAGGAATTGGAATGCATGGAAAGAGATAACAAAGATAGGATAGAGGTTTTAAAGGTTTTTGTAGCAGAAGCCAAAAAAGCAAAATGGTAACATTTTAATAATGAACTTGGGGTCGATAACACTTTTGGAAAGTTCTGGAAGCTACAGATGCTCAAGAAAGATCAGCTCAGCTCAGTGGAAATAGTTCATAGAGACGACAGCTTGCTATTGGCCACAGACAAAGAAAAACGGGAGGCTTTCCTGAAGAGGTTCCTATCACAGACAGTTCATAATGATGTAGATAACAGAGATATGGTTAGAGAAGATCTATCAGCCGTCACAAAGAATAAACATTATAAAGATATCATACAGGTGAAAGATGTGAAACATGTTCTGAAAAGAGCGAAAGACAGTGCACCCGGGCGTGACCAGGTTAGATATTTCCACAGAAGGGACATGAGCGATGCAGACCTGTTGAAAATGACTGCCTGTTTCAACCAAAGCATTAAGACTTCAGTTCCACAAGAGTGGATGCACAGCTATCTGATTCCACTTCGTAAGCCTGACAAGGATCATTCAACACTCAGCGGCTTTAGGATTATTACCTTACAACAACACTTTTGGAAAAGTGCTGGAGAAGATAGTGGCAGGTAAGCTACAAGAATTTTTGGAGCAGACAAAGCTTCTTCCAGGAGGTTTGGAAAGTTACTGGCCAGGGAAGGATACATGGTCAAATGCAGCCACTTCTGCCTTTGACACTTTTGAAAGTTTTGAGAACAGGCAGGGAACAGTGGTAGCAGCACTTGATTTAGAAGATGCTTACAACAAACTGAGTCAGATATAACATGACAGTGCTTATGGAGAAGGGAGTCTGTCCTTGGTTGGTGAACTGCAAAGCAGCTGCTTTGTATTCTTGTCAGGTGGCTCTCCGCTTGGGTTCATGGACCTCCGAACCACATATTATAGCCCTAGGACTACCACAGGAATCTGCAATTTCACATGTGCTGTTCGGTGTGTTTACGAGCAAGATTATGAAACTGGAAAAACATGGAGTTGGTAGATTATTGACAGTTGCATTTGATATTCTCAAATATTGGCAGGGGAGAGACTATAATCAAATAGCTCAAGAGTTAACAGGCGACAGTAGATGAGGTGATCAACTGGTGTACAGAGTGAGTACTGTAATCAACTCAGAAAAGGCAACCCTCCTGTGGTGTTCTTTGAACAACAGGATGATGTTCCAAACCTTAAAATAAATGGCAGGGACATCAAGAGAGACAGCAGACTGCGGTAGCTGGGAATCACCTTTGACAGAAGCTTGTCTTTCAAGGATCACACAGAGGTGGTTGTGTCAAAGGCCCAAAAAGGTCTTAATGCACTAAATATTATGGCAGCAAAAGACATGAAAGCATAAAATGCCGTTCATGCTGTACCAATCATCTCAGTGATTGATTATCGACTAGGTTTGCTCACTGTCTTGAGAAGTCACCCAGTGAAACTGTAGCACATACAGAATGAAGCTATGCGGGTGATCCTGGGATGTAAAGGAGACATTCAGATTGTGTGCATGCAATACATCCTTGCATTGCCAACTTTTGCAGACAGGCTAGAGGTGCTGCAGTCATACCTCAGAAAAGCTGTAAAGAGCACACTCTGTATGAAACTTTGGATGCAGTCAAGCGTCAGAGGCTGAAAAGGGGAAAATCATGGATGGCTGAAACAGAAGACACAATAAGAAAAGTATGCATGCTGAAAAACATTGGGCGAGGAGAGGAGTCAGAGTAGCAGAGGAAAAGTCTGACTTATGTAGGGACATGATTACATTAGGCCGGAAGTGCAGAGAATGGCCGGCAGGAGCTACCAAGCTGGGGAAGTTCAACAGTTGATTCACGACAATTCTCATCTTGATGATGTGATTATCTACACAGATGATTCTGTATTGAGAGGGAAGAGAAGTGCCTGGGGTTTCGTAGCGAAAGCCAGTGGAAAATGTTTAGTGCAGGGCAGCCTGGCATATAATACCACAACATCTAGCATGAGAATGGAGGTGGAGGCAGTCACTGCAACTTGTCAGTGGCAAGAGAACCTAGATACATACACATGTCATAATTGTAACGGACTCTGAAAGCATGCTAAAAAAGGTGAAGACAGCATTGCTTCGAGCAGAGTGGCAAGCTTCACTTGCAAGGTCATGGGTAGTGAGCATACTTTGGATCTTTTCTCCTTCTTCTTCATCTTCTTCTTTCGTTCGCTTGAAATAGATTATCTATAAATGCAATGTTGTCTCTAGTATGAACTTTACTGTCTGTTGTAATTCACTCAGTGACCCGTAAAGTTTGACTTGCACCGATGTTTCTCTTGGCCAAAAGTTTTGCCTTGATATGTTGTATTTGGGACAGTCTAGGAGGACATGATCTGTTGTCTCAGGTGCCAAGCCACATGTGCACATGGCTGATTCGCTGATTTTAAATTTTGTGTACATGTGGCTGCGAAGTCGATTGTGTCTGTAATGTTGTGAATTCCCGGAGAAATCCCAGAGAATTCCCGATGGGGAGGAAAAGGTCGGAAGACCCGTGAGAGAAGAGAAAAACGGGATAAGTGGGTCTCGTGTGTCTCATGGTGAACGAAGTGAGGGACACAAGAAAAGCATGAGATGTGAACGGAAGACGTGAACCGGGAGACAGAAGTAAGACAGTTGAAGTTCGGCCCTGACTGAGAGAGGACGCGTGAGTGGACGCCTGAGAAGAATAAATGATTTGTGAAACGAATGTTATATTTCAATAGGAGGACTGAATGTTTTTCCCCACGTCGTAATGTCAGGTACCAGGGTTCGTGAAGGATAGATGGATGGTTCGAGAGACGCTGATGAATTTCTGTAGTGTGTGAGAAGTCCGACCAGGTAGCTAGATTCAGCCAAGCAAGACGAGCACGAGGAAGCGAGAATGTATGTATGCGATAATTGGCAATTCAACGAATAAAAGCAAGCAACTCAATATTCGTTCATGGTGCGTCGTTTCAACTCACTGTTCGTCTGAAAGCAATGCAAATGAATACATGCCCCTAGCAGAGTATATGACAGTGTCCTGTTCTAAGGCGTAGAATCATAACTTGCTCTGGTCTGTAAATAAAGTGCCTGTTTTGGTGGCTTTCCGAAAGATTTGATTATTCTCTTCATTTGTTGATAAGAGACTGATACATCAGGTTGTTCTTCATTTGCACCTTCCTTAGCTAGTTTATCAGCTCTTTTATTTCCAGAAACTCCACATTGGGATGATATCCACTGCATAGTTACCTTACACCGACTGCCTAGTTTGCAGAGTAATGTTTGTATACCAGATAGTTTTCCAGATCGGAGTGCCTGAAGCACTGCTTTTGCATCTGTCAGCAATTCCACAGGTTGTGAAATATGACGTATATTTAACAGTTTCTCTGCTGCTACTTCGATGGCTTGAACTTCTGCATCAAAGTTGTGACAGTGCTTTCCTGTAGGTATTTTGGCTGTATATCTGGTATTATTTGGATGCTCAATATACACTCCTGCTCCTCCATTTCTGCTTGTGTTTTGTGCTGACCCATCCATATAGACACGAACCCAAAGATTATGTGGGTATTTGTCATCAAGTAGCGAGGGTGGCTGTTTTACGATGCGCATTGTTTTGTTCTTCCTTGTCGAATAATCCTTTCACTTCTGTCTGGATGTGTAATGGCAACTTATAATCCTCTTTCCAAGGCGTCTGATCTGGAATAGCATTTGAGGGGCTATTAGTTGCAGGCAGATCATTGGTTTGCCTGCAGAGTTGTTGGGCCTGGTAGATGAAACTGCTTCTTTTTAATCACACCATTGCTAGATTATGGAATCTTTCTTTCATAGGGTGTTCAGGCATGCTAAGAAACTTTTTTGCTTGTATCTTAGTGTCTCTTTGTTCTGTCAGTGTTTGAGTCATCGCTATCTTCTCCATCACAGCTATTGGTTTTGATTTCATCCCGCCTGTTATGATTCTGAGTGCTTGATTTCGCAACTTGACTCATTTTTATAGTGTGGTTTTTGATGCTTAACTCCATGCAGTTGACTCGTGTTCAAGATGTGGTCGTACACTTTGTAGAAAAACTTCCTTAAGTATTTTCCATTTGATCCCATGTTGTTCCACTTAGTTTTCTTAGTATAGCTATCTTCCTTCTGGCTTTGGTTGCTACCTTGTTGATGTTGTTTTTATCCATGTTAACCTAATATCAAACGTGACTCTGAGGTATGTGGGCTCCTTATCCTCTCTTAGTGGTATTTTTATTTATCTGAATGAAGACTGATTTTGATTTTGGGGAGAGGGTGAAGAGAGTGGTGCTACATTTGTCTATGTTGATGCTGACACACCATTTATCAGCCCATGCAGCCATTGCATCTATGGATCTTTGTAGCAGTCGAGTGACCACTGTTGCATATTTATTTGTGCACCATAGTACCAAGTCATCAGCATATACTGCAGCTTTATTACCATGTGGTAGTTCAGCAATTAATTTGTGATATAGATCAGAAACAGTGTTGGGGAACACCATAGCGCAGCAAAACTTTCTTGCTCTTAGTCCGTCAATCTGTACTCAGGCTCTTCTTTTATACAAGTATGACCCATTTACTTTGTAGTTTCTCAGTTTCTTCATGAGACTTTTTTTCCAGACCTTGTCAAAAGCTTTCTTCTATCCATGCTACATGCACTAGTTTCTTTTCTTGGAAGTCATCTTCAATTTCTTGAGAGAGGTAAGTTGTCTAGTCTTCTGTAGAGTAGCATTGTCTAAAGCCTGCCTGCTGCACGTAAAGATGTTTTCACTTTCCATGTACCATTGAAGTCTAAGTTTGACAAAGCGTTCTACTGTTTTACAAAGACAGCTGGTAAGGCTGATTGGTCTATAATTGGAGGCATTGGTGCTGTCTTTTTCCTGGTTTAAGAAAAGGCATCATGACTGCTTCTCTCCATATCTGTGCAACTTTGCCACTGGCCCAACAATTATAAAAAATCCGCAGCAGTTTTGTTTTGGCTGTTGTCCTTAGGTTCCTGATCATTTCGTTGGTTATTCCATCAATTCCAGGCGACTTTTCCACTTCCAGCTTTGACAGTGCTAACTCTAATTCGCTAAACATAAGTGGTGCTTCCGTTACCACGGGAATTATATTGCTGTGTCTTGGGTGTTGTCATTTCTCTCGAACCTCTGGTTGTTTCTGTGGACTGACATCAATGTTGCTGTCTTCAGCAAATAAATCTGCAAAGTGATCAGCTGTCTGTTTTTTTGTTAGGATGGCTCCTTCTGAAAATATTGTAGTATTTGCCTTTCTCCCTGTACTCTCGTCAATAATGTGTTTTACCAGCCTCCACATCTTCCTTGTGTCTTTTTTAAAGTTTAGAGACTTTTGTTCTTTCTTGCCAACATGCCCTTCTAGCCTGCAGCTTGGCTCTTTGAAATTTGGCCTTTGTGTGTTGGTATTTGTTGAACAGCTCCTGACAAAGTCTGATTTCAGGTTTCTTTCTTTCAATTTCCATATCAATGGGCAATTGTTCTAAGTCACAATTCCAGTATGGTTTTTACTGCTTATGTGCGCCTCTTAGGTGCCGATACAATTTTTAGCCTGCCTTCTTGTAATTCCCTCTTGGTAGAGTGCTGCTCTTTCTTACAGACTGGTTTTCTATCATTAGAAAGACGGGGCGGTGATCACTGCCTCCTAATTGTTTCCCCACAGTTCTAGTAATATCCATTCCAAGTCTGGTGAATGAAAGGCCAGGTCATGCTGCGTGGTGGGGAATGAACAGGCAGACAAATTGAATGGATCTGCACCGCTGGGTGGGGAATTGATACATGACAAGGGAGATGTGGTCACAGCCATTTGGGAACAAGTAACGAAGGAAACAAGATTATTATTGCCTGGACAAAATTATGCACCTGGGTGTGACCAGAGAGATCAGCCAGCCCACTACGCTCAGAGGAAAGGCAAGACGGACATACAACCAGACTATGACCGGCATCATTAGTATTGGAACTCTGCGCTGGCTGCTGAAGATGGGGACAGAGCACATGGGAATGCCCCGAGTGCTGTAATGTCAGTTCTTGACTCAACTCAACTCATGTTATATCTTCTGCATGTTGAACTTAGCCTGTTTAAATGGTTTTGCAGTCTACTTCCCTCATTGTAGAACAGGCACTGAACGTCTGCAAAAAGCCTTTATTGTGTGAGGATTTAATTCTTCCTCTGGAAAGTAAAGTTCCTCATTTTATGGATTTTCTTGGTCAACTGCTTAAAAAACTGGCTTTTTCTGATATTCTATCTATGTATATAATAAATGAGAGACGATAATAATATGCCAAAATTCATTGCATAAATGTAAATAAAAAATACAAAGGCATGGACGATAAAATGCATACCATCAAATATACATGCAAAATACTCACATATCACAGACACACGCAAGCATGTACATACACACCACACCCAGAGGCACACACATTGAAGTCACACACGCAAAATAAAAAGGTATACACACAATCACACACAGAATACATACACACAACATATTATACATAACAAAAACACAAAGAGTCACAATATGTACACACATACCGATACAAAATGCACACAGACAACACATACTGATACAACATTCAAAGGCATACATACACACAGGTGCAACCAATAGACACAAACACAATGCATTCAAAAACTCAACACAAGCATATTGTTTACAAACACATCACACAGTAAGAAGAAACTCCACCGGAAAACATGTACAGCAGGATCTACCAATCATCAGAAGTAATCCCTCATCAACAAATGTTTCGGCCCACGAGCTCCTAGACATTTTCGGAGGGTGGGCCCACCTGAGTTCATGGAGCTCAGGGTTGATCTGCTCCTGCTGCACGTATTACCGGATGTTCTTGGACAGGGACAAGACGAAATTGGTGAATGTGCAAAAGGTACTGTGAGATTCGAAGTTTACTTACATAGTCGCTGCGGTAGCATAATTACAGCAGTCAGCATACCTGGACGACCAAGTGGTAAGCTTACGGTTGGTTTATCGGACACATGTTGGACTTTGTTGGCAAATGGCAGAGGGACACCGGCAGACAATTTGGAACATGATGGACTTCAAGAGATAAGACTTTCTTTTCCACTAGATACCCGGACCAGCTCACTGAGGCCCGTCCCCCACGACGTTTCGTTGTGTCCAAAGCCAGCTCGAGACCCTTTCAGCAGCCTCACTCAGTTGTTTTAGTGATCGTTTGTGCTCATTTCCTCGCAAGCCCAGCTATTTTATTACACTGTACACAGCCTTGACGGCGAAGATTCTTACTGTGTACGCTTAGTCTCTCCTCAGATCAGCCGCAAGGTCACTGTATTTCTCTAGCTTATACACATGACCCTCGTCCATTCGCGACTCATACTGCGCGGTCAGCTGGATCAGGATAAGCTGACGTTTCTCCGCAGAGTGTAGGACTATGTCGGGTCGCAGGCCGGTCTTCCGGATTAACTCTGGGTACTTTTCATGACCTGGCAGGTCAACCGCCGGTAGCCGGTCCCTCGCACAGTCAAGCATTAATAGAGCATATGCGACCTTGTTGAATTTACCCTTATAAATCTGCCCAGCCTTGAGAAAGCGCACAGGGACAATGGTAAGACTGGCCCTCATCCTAGCTTGGTCTACAATGGCCGCTAACTCTTTCAGGACCTTGTTGGGGCACCAAGTGTTCCTGCCCTGACCTAGGGCTTTTCTGCAAGTGGACAATACATGCTCGAGTGTCTGCTTAGCTCTACACAGCAGGCATGTCGGGTCGTTAGTCGCACTCCACTTGACCATGTTGACACCGAACGGTAATACATCGTAGGCAGATCCTACGATAAAGCTCAGCTGCAGCAGGGACAGAGATATAACACATAAACAGAGAAATAACATTGACACACACACAGCACAACATTCACAGACACAACATACAGACACACACGCTCTCACACACTCATAGAGATACCACATACTCACAGGTGAGCACAGACTCAGAGACACAACACACACAAACAATAATACAGAAAAAAAACAGAAACATTGACTGGCACCTTTCCGTCTTTCCAGATGACAGTATTGCACTATGAGGATGCACGGGACTCACAGCCCATGGTGATGATGAGTGCGACTAGCAAGGCCCTCCCCGTTAAGAAAAGTTGTCCACAACTATAGCATGGGATTTCAGGACTGACACAACACTCTCACATATACAACATTCACACAGCTACAATGAAATGAGTGGCCTACCTGATTAAGCAAAGGGGTAACAGCATCATCCCTACGATCCAAAATAAGGAGTACAGGAGGAACATCAGTCTTCCTAAACTCAAACAGTGCGGCTTCTTTACTGATCACTTGCTGTAAATATAGAAACTTTACAAATAATAATCTGGCATTTGAGAAAAACATCTTCATTCAAAGTGTGAACTCTTTTCTTCTGAATCAAGAGACCATGCGTAAGTGACTAATGTCAATGTGCACCAATTAATGCATCATGTATTCCTGTGTGCAAGTCAAGGGGACAAGAAGGGTATTCAAGTGATGGGTCAGCATGTCTGAGCACTAGCTTATTAGCATAGTTTTATTTTTGATTTCTGCCCTGTCAGCGTTTGAGCTAACGCCTACTGTATGAATAAACTTGTTGCACAAGGTTACCGACAGACACTGTATCTTGCTGACGACAATGTTTTCTTATGGTTATCCTTTTATGTGACCCATGATCCAAGTGATCCCTTAGACATATTTTCCTGAAATGAGTGAGCACTTTACGACAGTGAGCTTGTAGTAAAGGCCACTTTTCAGACAACAGATATCATTTAATTTCATGAAACAGAAAGCAAGAAAGGGAGTTGACCACACAGCTTATTATTCAGTTACCTAATATATGTGACTACCTAAAACTTTAAACTAGGAATTACCTCTACAACATCACAGTTAAACATTATCTTCACTTTAAAATGGCAACTAAAAGTCATTTCTATGGATCATTTCTCCAACATCTATATATGGTTCTCTGTGTTGAAATAAATGAACTGAACATAATGTGGATGTTAAAAGAAGAAAGATTAACTGTGATTAATCATAAACCCCAAGAAATAAGTATCAAAGAGTGAAGAAATATTTACAAAATTACATATGTGGCTGAAACTTGCAAATTAATAATTAAAAGTTAATACAATAAGAAAAGAGAAATGAAATACTTTAAAAAGTTAGTTGCCTATCCTTTACAGGACGTTGCAGTACCAACCCCAACAGCCCCTTGCTGTTGTGTGGTTTTCTGAGCAAATTTATGTCCAGCAGTTTGCCATTGCTTTCTGGACGGTCAGCTTTCTTGAAACTACCGTCGAAACCAACACAAGGCGCATGGCCCGCAGCTGGGATCGAACCCGGCATCCCGGCATTACGAAGCGTTCGCATCGACTTAGCCACAGAGCCGACAATACTTTAAAAGGAAGCCAATTTTTGTTTTCCTCCAATTATTATTATTGTAATTGTTTTTATATAAAAATAAATAGAATTAAGCTGCATTATTTTGTCTGATTTGTAGAACAATGCATGGAACTTTATCAGGCATTTGCGACTGTTAACTTTGTGCTTGGAAAGAATAAGAGCTCAAAAAGAGTTCTTTAACAAAGCCCACATGCAGGTAGTGTGGGCAGTACTAGATTAGCAGAAAGCAATCCGAGCCTCTTTCAATGCTGAAAAAGAAACCTGACTGTCACTAATGTGGCGTCCTGACTGTCACTCATATCTCTGAATAGTCTATATGCAGTCTTCCAGAAGATCCATAAGCCAATCAACAAGCAAGGCAAGAGATTTGTGCCTCTTTTAGCTAGGTTCATATCCAGTGACTCATCCAATTTGAGAAACTGCCAGCAATGCTTTACTGGGAAATGGTTGGGGATCTTGGACAGAAGAAATACTAAATGAAGCAAAGTAAATAAATCTTTTGCATGCCATGACTTGAACATAGTGAAAAAATATATTATTTTATAAATTTTTAAAAATTAAAATGAAACACTTACCCTGACACTGTCAGCAAGTCTGCGAGCCATCTCTGAAGAATTCTGATATCTAATCATGGGACACTTTTTCAGTGACAACAGAACTGCAGTTAGACCTTGAATGGTGCGTGACAGCATTGAAGGTGACCAATTTAAGTTCTACAAAAAAAACAAAGCCCCTTTTTCTTCTCTCAGCAATAACATATTTTACTTCATATCTTGTTTAATTAATATTAACGTTCACACACTTCAGGTGAGGCTGTCAGTTCCAAGACCATAATGAGGTTTTCAAAATATGCCTATAAATCTATTGCTGTGAAATGAATGTGTCAGTTTATAGGGATGAATGGGGGGGGGGGGGGGAAGGGGGGGGGGGGGGGTGGCAGGGTTTACATAAATACAACAGATTTAAAAATGGACTTCATAGCAGAGCTGCTCAGAGATGATTTGGAAGAGATCCCTGTTATAGTATTTATGACCTTTGGCAAGTTATCCCTAACCGGGGGGGCATAAAATGTAGAATGTTTGTGAGCTTCACCAGTGTTTCCATTCCTGATATAGGCATGGCGTGCATATTTCCAGTCATAATGCGGAGGGTGTGATTTTGAATCTCTGAGACTTTCTGAACATTCTGATTTAGCGCCTGTGCCCCAGGCAGCTAGCTATCCTATATTCGAGTGTTGACCTCAAGTAGCCTGAGGTTCTCCTGAGGACACTCAGATTTGCCCTGCAGTCTGTTCCATCTTATTTCCTCTTCTGTTGAGTTCTCTTGAGTCCCTTGCTTCTTTTTATGTTTCCCCCATGATTCTTAAGTTACTCCTAAGTATGATGGGAAGTCATTAAGGTTTCAGCACCTGAATGCATAAGTGAGTAAATCTTTATGGGGTTTGGTGGACAGACTGAAAAATTAGTGTGTGAGGTTTTGGTCCCAATTACAGGCATATACCATCTAATGGACAACTTATCTAAATTTCCTAGGGATTCCTGAAGCCTGGTCTGTGTTGTGCTAATGTACTTCTCTGAGCTCAGGAGCGCCATCAACTGCCATGATGGCCTGAACCCCATTACAGAGGGTGGATTTATGTCATTAATATAAATAATAACAACAAATAGAGATAGAACCACACCTTGTGGGACTCCATGTTTCAGTGTGACTGATCTACTTCTGGAACCTGGTATCTTGACCCTTATGTACAATCTTCACGGTATTTGAAGATTCTACCATGCATGTGATATTCCACTTTCAAGTAACTTTTCATTAGGCCCAATTTTCTACAACATGTCGAAGGCCTTTTCCACATCCACCCAGATTGCAAAAGGGTGTTTCTTTTCCTAGAATTCATCTCCAATTTGCTGCACAAAAAGCATGGTTTGATCTTCAGTTGATCTAGTGTCGAAAACCTGCCAGACCTCTATCAGTTCAGAATTTGTATCCAGAAACCAGGTTAGTCAGTTGTTTATTGATCTTCCCAATAATTTGTACAGATAGCTGGTGAGACTGATGGGTATGCAGATACATATTTGTTGTTCTTTGGCCTTCCTTACTTAAGGATTACGAATATTTCAGACTTCCTCCAGGGTGGAAAATCTATTTTTTTAAACACTCTGGCTAGAATTAACTCCAAGGAATGCATCATGCGCTAATCGGTTACTACACAAGTGGCCATTCGGCGTGTGACGTGTTCAGGTTTTTAATTTACAACTGGCCAACAAAACAATGCAAACCGGCAGCTTTGAATGATAGTTCCTGCTCTTTGTGTTTGATGTTACACGAGGTGACCAATAGGCATATTCAAAAATGTGGTTAAAAGCATAAAATGTAGCATGTTTGTGAGCTTCACCAGGTTACTAAGTGTCTGTGTGAAAACAATTTGGCCTCTGAACAGACTTCTTCATGCATGCCAACAAGATTTATGACTTTTGAAGCTTCATATTTAAATAAAACATGAGGTTTTGTCTGAAGCTTGACAAAGAAAGTAACAAAGTAGACTTGTTTAAGTCATTGATAGAGTCAAACTCTGATGAGTGATAGCTCTGATGTATATCTCACACAAAGCCTACAACGACAACAGAATCAGCTGGTATAAAGAGAATAAATATTAGTGAAAAAGCCAATATTCTTCAGTGTCAGTTAGGTCTAGTGCGATATCATTATTTGGGAACACAGAATATAAAATTATGGGCAAATTGGTGTTATATAAAGTTTGTTTTTGTGTGAAAATACTAATTGTTTTCTAAAAGTTTCTCCGGAGATCTAATGGGCGGATCGTGTTTATATTTTGTTTATACATTACTAAGTGGTTAATGTTCATTTGTGATTCATTTTGGATTTATTTCATCAAGTTTGCCTTGAGTGCCATAGTGGTAAGTGGAAAAATTATTATTTCTTTTTACTAATTTCTTTAAATATACCATCTGTTTATTTACCAATAATCAACTAAAACACAATTTATGTTTGTAGCAATATTCTAATATTATTCTTCAACAATTCCTGATCGCTTCGATGTATATGTGTATGTTGCATGAGAGTTGAATTAGTATGGTCTGTTTTGATGTGTAACACTCGTGATATTTCACAACTGAATAACCACCCCTTAGGCCTGTAATGCTAAACCCCTAGGACTCAAAGAGTTAAAAGATGTTTAGTAATTTCTTTTTGGCTCTAGGTCCCATTTGTAGTAACACATCACTGGTGATTTTATCGGAACCAGAAGCGTGGTTAGGTTTCAGCTGATTCAATCCTGTGTGTTTGTTTGTTTTAGTATCCAGAAGCCATGAGTTGTTAACCCTTAGGCTCGGTATTATGGATATCGCAACCTTTCGGCCTTGGTTCCATTGTAAATACCGTAAATCTGGGAGAAATGTGGCTTTTCTGCCTACCCCGGGGAGTGAACCCGGACCACAAGGAGTTCGTCACCCGCTCACCGCGCAATCCGGTTTAGCCAACTACACTAGAGAGATGGGCCAATCCTGTGTGAAGTTCCCTCACTGAGAATTTATTTTTCATGTTGTCCTGTACTGGCTTCCTCAAGTTGTTTTATTCTCTGCACTACCAAATCTCTGGAATGTTCTATATTGTTATCACTGATTCACCAAAATATTTGTAGCTTCTTTTCCAGATTTGATTTCATTACTGTCATTTAATACTGCTGAGTTGGTTTGTTCAGGTTTCTCCCTATGCACAGTTAACTAGTTTCCAAAGTTTGGATCCATCATTTTCAAAAATTAGGCTTTTCGTCTTGTCTTACCCACTTTTCCTAGGTGATTAGATTGGTTTTTTTTTCTCAAGTTTAGTTGCTGCAGCATTGTAATATTGTTCTCAATCACTGGGTTGCTTTCTACTCTATCCCCTGTGTGTAAGAGTTTGGTTAAAATCTTTAATTTGTTGGGACCAGGATTGGATGTAATGCTTCCTTAAACCCTGAGGAATGGTTTCCTTAGATACCTTTAATTTGGCTTCTGTAAACTCTTCAACTGAATTAGCTACCTGACTTGATTTACTGTTTATATTTATCATGTATTGGTCAGTTCCATTGAGTGGGGCAACCACGTACGAGAGCTTCTCGTTTTAGGATAGAGATTAAGATAGGTCCGTGATCGCTGCCTGCCAGTTAGCTAAGCACTATTTCTTGTATGCTGTCTGCAGAGTCTAGCATAGCAAATGTTAAGTCTGAACCACTGGTAGAAAAATATGTTCTGGAGACAAATAATGGAGAGTCATCTGGCTTGTTGATAAGATGGGAGTCTGACAAATGTCTATATCAGTCCTCAAATTTTTCCCCTCTCTAGTTTACCTGTGGATATCTCCAGGTTGGAGAGTGTCTATTAAATTCTTCTAGTATGATGCATTTTTTATCATGGATCCTCAGAATGTATAAGGAGAGTTCTTTGCTTGGAGGGTCAGTAGCAGTTACATAAAATAATTTCCTTGCCTGCAATGTTTAGCATGATACACATGATTTCTTATTTCTGCTCTGTCTTCACCATGAGCTGGACTGCTTTTCTTTACAAGGATGAGGTCGCCTCCCTTGGTGAAAGCTTCTAATGCAGAATCTGTACTTATCTGACAGGTGCATCTCATTTTATACAGGCAATGTCAATATTTCCTTTTTTGTGAGTTGTTTTATTGGTAAGTGCTGACTTTTTACTGCGGATTCCTTCTGCGTTCCACTGTAGAATTCTCAAAGTACGCACATCTTCTTCAGTCATCCCTCTGTTGGGATAGATTATGTGAACATCATCGCTATACCTCTAAATCTGTGAGTGATGATACCTCACAGCTGGCACTTTTAAGGTAAGACCCACTGGGGTGCATTTTCGGGATGTGCTAAAGATAAAACACCAGTCTTCATTCCTGCTAGGAGTTTCTGACATTAAAGAAAGCAAGTGTGGCGTAATTTCTGTGGGCTCTTTAACTATCTGGGTCTTTCGACATGGCACCTTTGGCTTCAACGGGCTTTTCTTTCAGGATGTGCTTCCTCAGCCTGTAAGCAACCAAGGCCTAACCACTAGGCAGTGGTAGTTTTATTTCAGAGTATATCCTTCTCCTAGGTGGGCTGCTGTTCCCAGCTGTCAAGCCCCACCTATCCAGAGGAATGCTTAATTATATTTTGATTGACACCTCATGATAACTTGGCAGGGCTTCACCAGCCTGGTTGTACACAAACTGGAAGTCATTTCTTTCAATGCTGGGCAGTGTGTTCCATTCCAGTAGCTATAGAAACAATAACAAAGCAGCTGTCCTTGCATTCTCTCTTTAATTTACTGCTGTGGAATGCATGGCGGGATCAACAATGCATGTTCTTACTTTTTTTTTTTCAAGAATGTGTTCACGTTTAACACAACATAGCCATATGGAATTAAATACACAGTAGAACCTCAGGATACAAACTTAATCTGCTGCATGACAGAACTCTTATGATAAATAATTTGATCCGAAAACCATGCTTCTCATTAAAATAAATGTAAATCATTCCTTCCAAAAATCACCCGGTTAGTTTTAAGGAGAGGTTTTTCATTTCATTAACGGGGATAATGTGTAGCACTTCTTTTTTGTTTTAGTTGGTAGCAAAAACAGGGTTATTTCCGACCATGATGCTACAGTTCATTACCATCAAGTGCCTTGTCGACTGGCTAAAGTCCTCCTTCCACAATCTTAACATGACCTATCAATTCAAAGTTTTCAAGATGCTGTCGGGTAATGCTGAGAGTACTCACCCCTCCAGCTCACATCACGGATGTTACCTCATATTCTGGGGCAGAAAGGCAACATGGGACAATGCTGGAATGTTCGCATATGATGTATATGAAGGATTTCAGTGAAAGCAAGAAAGAATCGCTGTTGCGATAGATCTTGAAGATGCCTATAATGGTGCTGACTTCACATATCTTATGCAGTGCATGATGGACTGTAGGAACCCTTGGTTAGCTAATTAGATGGGGGCAGCATTCTTGGAAAGAACATTGGTATTTTGTTTGGGAACATGAAGATCAGATCCAATATGCATCTGCCCAAGCCTTCCCCAGGGATCACCACTGTCACCTGTCTTGTTTAACATATATACTGACAGCAAGTCTGGCAAAAAATAGACCAGGAAGAACTTTGACATTTGCAGATGATGTCCTAATGTATCGAAGCGGGTCAGACAGGCACGACATGACCAGAGACTTGCAAAGTGCTTTGCATGAGATGGCCGAGTGGTGTGAACAGACAAGGTCAAGGGTAAACCCAGAGAAGGCCAGTGTTTTGTGGTGCTCTTTGAATACAGCATTTGAGGGGAAGACTTGCTAAACATATCCATGAAGAGTATCAATGTTGAAAGAAGAGATAAGTTGAAATACTTAGGTCTGACGTTTGATCGCAGTCTGTCCTACAGATATCACATGCAGCAGACTGTGAACAAATGTAAATGTGGCCTGAAGGCACTGAAGACGATGGTGGCGACACATATGGAACAGAGATTATTGGTCTTATTCTTAAACCATTTGGTCCTTTCTGATATAGATTATGAATTATGAATATTAACCCTGTCTACTTCACAGTGTACAAAGCTTGAAAGGATTTAAAAAGAGGGAATGAGAATCGTCTTTGGTTGCACATGGGACACCCCAATTAGAACAATGAGGTATTTGAGAGGGCTGACATCGGTAAAGTCTAGACTGTCACTGGCACAAGCCAAGGCCTATATGCGAGTTACCAATGATGAAAGGCATCCGCTGCATGGTAATTTGAACGATTTAAGAAAAGAGGAAAGTCATGGATGGCACTAGCTGAAGATACCATCGAGACGGCGACCTCAGTCAAGCAAATACACAGGGGGCAGGAATGGATCGACGCGAACACCCACAACAGCAGTTTCCATCAAATCATTATCACTTTAGGAAGAGAATGTGGAGAGTGGTGTAATGTTATGGCAGAATTAGAGGTACAACGACTGATAGATGGAAAGGCTGGCCTGCAGTAGTGTACACCATTGGTTCTGTTCAACAGGGTGTAAGATCTGGTTGGGGATTTTTAGCTAGAATGAAGGGAAAAATTGTGGCAGAACAAAATGAAGTCTTTTAATCTACAACTTCGAATTACTGTGTCTAATTCTCAGTCTCACTGCGGAAGGTTTAAATGGACTAATGTGGCATGAGTAGATACCATCCATCATTGCACCAAAATTGCAGGGAATTACGTGGATATACTGTCCGGGATATGCAGGAGTGCGAGGAAATGAAAGAGCGGATTTTTCGGCTACAAAAGTGAAAGCTATGGGAACGTTCGTATTGGACAAGGACAATGACCATATATGAATGACTTTTGGCAAAAGACACGAGATTAAATGAAATAACATGGGCAAGAATGTGTGAACGAAGAATTAAGTGTGGATCTGGCAAGGAAAATGGATGAGAGGAAAAGTTTGGCGTGTGTATAATCAGTGTGCTACGTGAACAGTCAGCATCTACACCTTACTTCATTTGCTGCAGGAGACGGAGCATCTATGTCAATTCTTAAAACAGTAATCAGTAATCTGGGGCAGAAAATCAATTGATGGCCCTGACCCATTAAACTTGTATATAGGTACATTCGTATAATGAGGTTCTGATATAATTTGATGCACTAGAAGTCCAGGTGAAACACAAGCACAATCATATCACAGTTTTTGATTCCAGTATGAAAACTTGGTTAAAAAAACAAATAAATCTGGGACAGTTATAAAAAAATGTTTGATCGTAGTAGGTTCTGAATCACAATGGATTCAAACCTGGTATTTCTCAAAGCTCTGTGATTCTGAAAGCAAATTCTCAAGGCCTCTTTAGGATGAAAATTTACTTCATACTATAAAAAAAATTGTTTATAGAAAAACCCTGCAAAGCAAATAAAAATGGAGGTGCACCTTTTTAATTTTCGCACAAAACATAAATAATTTTAAATGGTCCTGACACATCCAACAAATGTAAAGCAATGAAACCAGAAATGTGTACCTAATTTTGGCATATGATTTTGTTTAACTCTTTGTTGATGTATTGCCATTTTAGTGGCTTCTAAATCCATAACGTTTGGATGGATCGCCACTAAAGTGGCTTTGCGCACCAACACTCTCACATTATTTTTTTTTTATGAAAAAGAATTTGTATTAACATGTTTTGAAAAACTATGACTGGAAAAAGGAAGTATTACTGATAGGTTTAATTTTCGATGTGCTTTTAATTAATTCAGTGTGATACAGTTTTTATGTGGTTTTCCAGATCAAATGATAAGAGAAAGGTATAGAACTGCCCTGCTACTTCGTTGATGAATCTCAGCCAGACAGTGATAATAGTTTTGATATTATGATTAATAGTGCGTGCCAAACCTATTGCCAATAACATAAGGTTGACTTTGAGATTGGCTAGTCCATCCCATAAAATTATGCTTCAGCATAAGCCTTACAACTAGTTCAAAAATTAAATGAAATCCAGTGAACCAAGAAGTAGGATAAGACACATACTGAGATGAACTATTAGGAAAATAACAGAATGTAGCTGCACTAAAAAGAAAAAAACCAGCTGCACAAGATGGCAAAGATTATTATGGCTTTGTGTGAATTGGTTCAGAGCTTATGATTCCTTGAGAGAATATAGAGCAGAAGAAATATTACAGTAATTATACAATAAATGTACATGTTATGCATAACTGTCACTACTGCCTGTATTTATCACCTTTTAGGGCAGTGTAGACAAGGGGGTGTGAGCTTGAGGATTCAGGGCCATTGACTAGTGCTGTTGCCACAAACTGTACAGGTTAGGATGTGTAATTGTGCCCCTAACAGAAAAACTCCATCACCATATCGGTGATTGAACCCAGGTCTCCCGCATGAGAGGCCAACGTTGTAACAGCTCGGGCAGCCAAGCATGTTTACCCAAAAATTAAGATATATCTCCAGATCAAATATTTCTACAAATTATTATCTGAACTGGTAATTAATGAATGACATCTCACCTGACAGCAGCCAACCAAATTAAGAGAAAACAGGTGTGGGTTGACTGCTATATAGTCTCCATAGAATTCCTGCAATTGTATATTTCATTACAATGGTAAAACATGCATTTTTTTTTTTTTTTAAATTACTATAAACACAAAATATTTTTTTCTTAAAACTTTTCAGTAAATAATAAAACAGAAGAACATACCTTATTTTTATAAAGGATAAATATGCTATACATGTACCAGACAAATATCAAATGAACCATCAATTTTTTTTTCAGTTTTAAAAGACCAAATCCCATACACGCATATATTATATCTACACTGTCAGCAAAAATACACGCAATACTACTGCAATTGTAATGGACAGTCAAATTCAAAACTGTATTTGACGGAATTAAGGTTTTAATCTTCACTGACGTGAAAAGTCATTGCTCAGTTAGAACAAATGCATGAATGTCAGAAAAGTTCTACATTAGATCTGGACTTAGACTGGGGTGAGTTCTATCACCCCTACTGTTCATCACACATGTCGACTAAATTCACAAATCAGCTAACACCAGCGAAGGGGACAACATTGGAGAATTACTAAATGAATGCTTTTCGCCATGACCAGGCTATCATAGCACCAACAGCAGTACAACTACAAGAACATAATAGATTCCACTTAGAATGTGACAACTTTGATGTGAAGGTCAACGCAGACAAAACAGAAGTGATGACATTCTCCAGAAAAGAAAGAACCATCAATATCAAAATTGACAAACACCAGTTAAAGCAGGCGAAGGATTTTACATATTTGGGATTTTTTCAGAAGATGGAAGAATTAATAGAGAAATCCAACAAAGATGCAGTAAAGCCAATCAAGTTTTAGGCCAAATGAAACCAACTTTAAAATGCAAGCATGTGAATATGAACACCAAAAGAACCCTGTTCAACACAATATTCCTACCAATGCTGTGCTATCAATGTCAAACATGGACACATGTTTTCAGAAGACAGAAGAAAAATTGTCATGACAGAGATGCAATGTTTACATACTATGCCAGGTGTAACGAGGAAAGATCTACTTAAAATAATGATATTAGGAGGAGAGTCGGCAGAGAACCAATACTAAACTTTACAGTTAGTTAAAGCTAGTTGTGTATCCTTCACAGGACATTGCAGAACCAACCCCAGCGTTTACTGGCTGTTGTGGTTTTTCTAGGCAAATTTTACGTACGTACATAATCACATATATAAATTTACTCTCAATACTGAATCTCAAATTTTTTGTGTTTTTGTTTAACATTAAAAAAAAAATTACTCCTGTGACATTTTTAATCCACTCATAATTAGTTGAAACTCAGTTTCCATCAGAACTCAGATACACAGATGACACAGTTCTTATTTTCAACAGTGCTAAGAGATAAGAGCAGTCATTCTAGTCTATCAAAAGACAGTGAAGGCTGACTGACAACAACAAAAGTCCAGAGACAATAACTACCATGTCAACCAAAAGTTACAACCAACAATGATGACACAATATAAGTTCCTTTTTTTTTTAACTGATGATACTCTGGTTCCATAAGGAATATCAAGGGGTAAGTAATAAAAAGTCACAAGATAAGTGGCCAAAGTATCACACAATCAACCTTTGGCACAATGCCAGGAATAAGAGCATACATGCTGGGAACATGCATCTTTCCTGGGATAACAAAAAGATGTGAGTCAGGGCTTTTGAGTTTAAATGTTAGAGAAAATACTTAAAATGCAGCTAATCAAGATAATTTCCATATCTCTGCCAAAGACATTTAATGCAATGGACTGCAGAGAACATGACACAATTAGAGCTATAAAGCACAAAACCTGAAGTATAAAAGTAAATCAACATTTTAGAGAACAACAAATGAATACTAAGAGCTATAAGGCACCAATTCTGCTGCGGAGAACAGATGCACAATGCACCAAATTTTACAGAACAAAGAGGACTTAGTTTGGTTGTGAACAAAAGATCAACATCATGGCACATATGTAGTAACCCATCAGTGTTCCATTCTTCTAACTCAGTCTGAATCAGAAGAAGCTCAGCACATTTCAAAGACTTTGTAGCACCGGCGAGGGTCCTGAAATACTTTGGGTAGATTTTCAACTCCAAATTTTGCCCGGGCAGCGCTGTTACGCTACTCTTTTCGATTTAGAACAATCAGGAAAATACCATGGACAGATAAACAGCATAAAGAAGATGTCTTGTTAGCCATAAATCTCACACAGAGAACTTCTAGGAGCACAACATGAAAAGGAAAAAGGAGTGCATCATGATTAAAGGAAATCTGCAGGGGAAAAGAGGCAGAAGGAGACCAAAATAGATGGACAGCTTGGTATTACAGCATCTTCTTATTTTTATTTCTTCTCTGCGTTCACTAAGCTGTAAACACAAGTGTCCAGTGTCCATCCTAAGTCTTGTTCCAGAACTTAAACGGGAACAGTTAGCATCTAGACCTCAAGATATTTTCTGCAGGGACACAGAGCATCTATGGGTATACCCAGGGAGCTATGATGCTGATTCTTAAATCAGTAAATCAGCATATTCAGAACTTGAATTTTGCAAAAACATGTTTTATAAATTTGGCTTATTTGTATGCAGACTATTGGTTCCTTGCCTCTCAGGCAGATGCACCATAATTTTAAAGGAAAAACCCCTAATTAGTTGACTTTTATGGCTTGTTGGGAGAAGTTGGTGGCAGTGGGTCTTTCCCCCTCCCCCACCCCCAACACCTAGAATGGGGCCCTGAAGCCCATATGGAGAAGCATCTGAATCATAAATAATTGGAACAGAAAGCTAAAGGGCAAAGATGACTGCCAATGCCACATGATATGGCAACAAGAGAAACATACAAGTAGTACAATTCTATAAGGTTACTTTATAAATAACATGTCTCAGAAGCTGAAATACTTCGGTAAAATTAACTTGAAGAAGAGGCATGGAACTACCAGCACGAAGGTAAATGCAGACTACCAGCATAAAATGCACAAGACAGGAAAACTAGCAAAACCTAAAACATGTTTTTTCCTGGCCATGATTATAGCAAAGGATATATTTTACAGTTAACTCTTTTTTCAGCTCCTTGGAATCCATGTTAAAGAGGGTTTAGTGTAAAAATAATAACAACACTATTTCTGTAAAGCCTGCCTATTACCACTCTACAGTGGTACCTAGACTTAGGAACTGCTTTACAGCAGAAGAACACTATTTCTGTAAAGCCTGCCTATTACTACTCTACAGTGGTACCTAGACTTACGAACTGCTTTACAAACAAACTTTTATCGAGATCATATCCCCTTTCCACCTTCTACATATCAATACAGATTTAAGAACTGAAATTTGATGCACTGTGTGTGAGTCTATTGTTATTAGTTAGTTGCATATCCTTTACAGGATATTGCAGAACCAACCCCAGCACTTTCTAGTTGTTGTGGTTTTTCTAGGCAAATTTACGTCCAGTAATTTGCCATTGACAAACCGTCCGCAGCAGGGATCGAACCCGGCACCCCGACATTAAGAAGTGCATTCGCAATGCCTAAGCCACAGACGCCGATGCGTATCCTTTACAGGACGTTGCAGAACCAACCCCAACATTTTCTGGCTGTTGTAGTTTTTCGAGGCAAATTTACGTCCAGTAGTTTGCCACTGCTTTCTGGACGGTCGGCTCTTGGTACCACGGTCAAAACCATTGCAAAACAAACCGCCCGCAGAAGGGATCGAGCCCAGCACCCCAGCATTACGAAGCGCATTCGCAACACCTAAGCCACAGACGCTGACTGTTGTTATTATGTGGCATTTATCTGGAATACAAAACAATGAGCGGTGTGTTCAACAATGCTGCAGGTACATATTTTATTTTTCTGTGTATCTAATTCTTCGATACATAGTTTGGTCATGGTGATTTAACTTCTTTGGTATTCCAAAGTCCTTCATATCATTTCATAAAGTGTTTCTATGTACACTAAACATAATAACATATAAAAGCAGAAAGTTAGACCCTTTTCAAATAACATCTGGTTTAAAGCAAGTTGATGATCTGTCCCCATTTCTTTTCAACTTGGCCCTAGAGAAAATTATAAGCAAATTGAAACAAGAGTGTACTACAGGAGAAACTATAAGAATACTTGGTTGTGCAGATGATATTGATATCATTGGAGAAAACGAGCTAGAGACTGTAAAAACACTGAGTCTCGTAAAAGAAGCAGCTCACAAAATGGGACTAGTTAGCAATCAATATAAGACAAAATACATGATGATAACAAGATAGGAAAAGGATATAAACTCCCATTTGCATACAAGTCAAATATGAAAATCAAATGATTAGAAACATATAGGTACTTGGGTGCAAACTTCAACTGCTCCATGCTGAGAGAAGAAAAACAATCTAGAATACAATCTGGAAATAAGGAATACTATGCCCTTCAACATCTGCTAAAGTCAGTCTCCATCTCCCAACATCAAAATCAAAATATATAAAATGATAAAACCAGTCGTTTTATATGGCTCTGAAACTTGGAGCACAACTAAAAGAGATAAAGCCTTATTTAAAAATGTGTGGAAATAGAGTCTAACGGCTTTGGACCCATCAAAAATGCAAACAACGGGAAATTAATAGTGAGAAGCAACAACAAAATTCATAATCTTTTTTAAATACCCACTGATCACTGGCATCATGAGAGCTAATAGACTGAAATGGATGGGGGTTTATTGAGAGAATGTCAGATAACAGAGAGGTAAAAACTGTATACACAAGGGAGCTAAATGATCGTAGACCATGAGGTAGACAAAGAAGACAATGGAGACAGAATGTCCAGACAGACCTAAACACTTGTGGTCACCAACTGGAAAGAGAAGGTCAACTAAAGAGATGAGTGGAGGTGAGGATGTCTGCAGCAATAAACCTCAAGGGCTCGGAATGCTGAAAAAGAAGAAGTTTATCTAATTCTTATTTTCTGTGATCAAACCATAGGTTAGTTGTGTATCCTTTACAGGACGTTGCAGAACGAACCCCAGCAGCCCCTGGCTGTTGTGTGGTTTCTTGAGGCAAATTTACATCCAGTAGTTTGCCATTGCTTTCTGGATGGTCGGCCCCCTGTTACCACTGTCAAAACCAACGCAAGGCTCATGGCCTGCAGCTGGGATTGAACCCGGCACCCCGGCATTACGAAGTGTTCACATCGACTTAGCCACAGAGCCGACTGATCAAACCATACAATTAGTTTATATACTTGCAGATGCATTGGGGAAAAACATTTCAAATTAATATTGAGATACTACGTACTACTTTCAACATGGGGCTAAAGAAAACTGAGAAAGTAGAAATGAAAATCACAAAAGAAAAGAAAGAGATTGTGGAAAAATATGAGAAAGGAGTCAGGCAAACTGATTTGTGCAAGCAGTATAACTTGTCCAACTCTATCGCAACTACAATTCTCAAGAAGCAGATTTTAGAAGGAAATGCATGTGGCCAAAAGTGTATCTATCAAGTCATCTCGAAGAAATAAGGTTATGGAAGAAATGGAAACTTCACTACTTGTCTGGATTAATGACATTTAGCTGAAAGCAGATAGTGTATCTCAAAATATGATCTGTTTAAAAGCTCAAACTATTTATAAAGATCTATCACAGAACTTGCCATCCGCTACATTAGCAAAAACATCTGTTAAAGAGTTTAAAACTAGCAAAGGATGGTTTGAGAAATTCAAGAACTGAACCAGTCTCCATAGTATTGTTAGACATGAAGATTGTGCTGGTGCTGACAACAAAAACTGCTGATTGTTTGTGATAGAATTTCAGAAACTGATTGAGTCAGAGACATAAAACAGACCATAACAAGTTTTCTTGAACAAAATGCATACAAAAACATTCATCAATAAAGAGGAAATTTAACTGCCAGGAAACAAGCCAACTAACTCTGCTCTTTTGTGCCAATACCAGTGGTGATCTAAAGATAAAAACACCTGTTGGTTTGATTGTAGTATCGTGAAAATGAACATTCATGTTATTATGTTTCCTGCCTATTCTCATTAGCTCAGTTTTCATGGTGTTTATTCTCCTATCATATTTAGTGCAGGTTTGGTGTAGGGAGTCAATAATTCCTAATATGTTTCATAAGATGTAATAGGAAATTTGTTTTTGAGATATAAACTTTTTTGAGACATGAACCAGTCAGAAATGCTTTGAGTTTGTAAGTTGAGGTACTACTGTATATGTCTTTTTTGAGGGGGGGGGGGGGGGGGGGGGGGGGGGGGGGGTCAGGTCAACACATAAGCTTCTTTATAATTTCGCAGTCGAAATTCAGTAAAAAATATGAGGCACATATTTTAAGTAAGTCCAGTTTTGACTGCAACGCCAAAACATAAATGTGCATATGCAGTATGTTTATGTCGTTCATTAGCTAGCTGTATGCTTTTTTTTCACTGTCAAAATTTTGTTTGAAAATGCGTATGAGTGATTTATTATGAGTGCAAAAATAAATACTTTTGCCAGCTGCAAGGTTCGTGCCGTGATCTGTTTTTTGTTAGCAAAAAAAACAATAGTGCTGCATAAACTCAGATTGAGGTTTATGGGCCAGATGTTTAGACTGATAGAATGGTTAGGAAATAGTGTTGAATGTTTAAAGAAGGGCAAACAAATGTCCATGATGAAGAACGTAGCGGTAGGCCAAGTGTGGCTACACATAATTTGGTTGAAAAAGTAAACAAACAAATTCAGGAAAATCGCTGTTTCACAATTTTTGCATTGTCTGTTGAATATTCGGAAGTTTCATGTTCACTGATTTACAACATTGTGACGAGGGACCTTGGATTTTTTTTTTAAATTGTGTGCCAGATGGGTACCGAAAATGTTAACCAAGGAGGAGAAAAAAAAATGCCTGGCTTCAGCTCAAACATTTTTGCAGCGCTATTAAAATGAAGGAGATGAATTTTTGGGGCACACTGTTACTGGAGATGAGACCTGGATTTCCTACACAAACATTAAATCAAAGCAACAGTCGATGCAATGGCGACATTCATGGTCCCCAAGAGCAAAGAAGTTTGAGCAAGCATCTTCTGTCAAAAAGATCCATGTCCACTGTTTCTGGAACAAAGAAGGGGTCTTGTTTATTGATTTTCTTGCACCTGGAAAGACAGTTAATGCTAAAGCTTATTGTGACACTGATAAAACTTAGACGTGCCATCCAAAACAACAGACGTGGGTTGGTCCTCTGGAACTGTTTTTTTGCACGATAATAATCGACCTCACGTCACCGATGGAACTGTTCAGTTGTTGCAAACGATTCACTGGGAAATTGTTGACCTCTCGCCCGACAGCCCCGATCTGGTGCCAAGTAATTACTGACTTTTAATGCACCTAAAGAAGTGGCCTGCAGACAGGCATTAATGAATGGTTCAAGACACTGGCAGCAGACTTCACTGTCTTAATTTTGATAGCGCTGCAAAAATGTTTGAGCCGAAGCCAGGAAATTCTGCTTGTGTTCATCAGTTAACATTTTTGGCATCCATCTGGTACACATTTTTTGGTAATCCAAGGCTTCTGGTCACAATGTTGTAAACCAGTGAATGTGAAACTCTGAAAATTTGACAGACAATGCAGATATTGTGAAAATAATTATTTTCCTGAAATCTTTGATTCACTTGTTCAACCAAATTGTGTGTCACTACACTCGCTGACTGCCACAATGATCATAGATATTTGTTCGCCCTTCTTTAAACATTTGACATTATTTCCTAACCATACTTTTAGTCATAACATCTGCTGCTTAAACCTCAATGTAAATTTTTGCAGCAGTGTTGTTTTTTTTTTTTGCTAACAAAAAAACGGATCACAGCCCGAAACATGCAGCTGGCTGGAGTATTTTTTCGGGCACTCATTATAAATCACTCACACGCAAGCATCAAACAAGATTTCGACAGTGAAAAATAGCATGCAGCTAGCTAATGAACCACATAAAATACTGCATATGCACATTTAAATTTTCTGTCAGTATTTGGTGTTGCGGTCAAAATGGGACTTGCTTAAAAAATGTGACTCGCATGTAAAGTTATTAAATGTTCCTATGAAAGATACACACCTGTACTTCTCTCACAACTTCTTGATCATCTGCTTCTGCAAGAGTTTTAACATCCTGTTTGCTGATAACATTGCTAAAATCTGAAATGAAGCATTTTTTTAAAAAATTACACCTGATCACCTTCTACCTAAGATTATATGCATGTTACACTATTCTATCTTTAAAAAATTCAAAAGTGTGTTTGCAATGTTCGTTATATTTTAAAACAAAGACATCAATACCCCTAGAACTCTCAAAATACTGTCAGCCATTTTAAGCAACTTAAACTTTTGCTAAAAATACTGGTCAGATAAATATCAAAACTGCTGACTAAACTACAGACCACAGTGTCATGTAAAAGCCCGAACCACCCCTTCACATTAAACTATTTGTGACCCTGTCGCCCCTGGAGGCGAGGTCACATTAAAAAATAAACCTGTTCGGTGGGTATATAGTCCCTCATGTCTATTTACACCTTTGTATTATGACGGAATACAAATTTCTGTATTTTCTGAATCTCTTGATATATATGTCTACATTTTCAAAATTACAGTTGGAAGTTAGAGATTCTTTGTGTTGTTACTCTTAATCCGATGGGATGATTCACGACCTCGGCGCAAGAATCTTAGCACTACTTCTGTGAGAGTGACACTAACGTTCCCCCCCCCCCCCCCCCCCCCCCCACCTAATTCTCTGCCTGTTCTCCCAGGCGATAAGACGTTCAGTGCTTTGGCTCTCAATTTTATACTCCGAGAGGGAGGCTTTTGCGTCCAGGACATTTCCTAAAGTAGAGTTTAGGAGTACCATGTATATATATATATATCTATATATTTACCCCGCTGCTGAGGAGAAGGACAACTGGGCTGTGAGACATTACAGAGCAACACTTTTCTTGGTGTCAAAATGCTCAGGTCCACCTAAATCAAATCTTCTCCTTCTCAAGCTGAGATTATGTGCACTACCAACCCTGGCACTAGTATCAATGATTTAATTTAGCAGTCCAATCGTTCCATAACCAGCTAGTTGTGGAAAAGGAATGCCGATCTAGAGGCTGGCAGAACTGGATCAGCACACATTATCACTGAGCGGCTGGGGATAAGCAAGTTGACGTTATGGGATATTTACAGGTTAACTCATGTCCAAACACTGGGTGGCCTGGAAGGCTAGATTCAATTTGTGGGGGAATATAATATACATATTTGTGTGAGTAGTAGTCTGTGTAACTACAGGTGCAGATATGGAAGTAGAGAGATGGTGTTCTCTATCTGAGAGACTTCTGTCTGTCTCCATTTTGGAACTTGTCTCATGTCTCTTCTACTGACTGAATGACACTGTTGCATAGAGGCTAGTACAGTCTCATTATCCTGAGAGCTGTCCTCTGAGCTATATTTACGTGTGGATAGAGTTAAGTAGATACTAGGCATATGAGTTGAGTTGACTGCGAATCTTGGTGTTCAACTTCTTCACAGGATGATATCTAAATTTCAAAACCATGCAGTTAATCAACAGTCCATAAAGCCACCAGCTTGAAAGCCACCAGCTTGGAAGCCATTAGCTTGAATGCCACAAACTCTTATTTGCCACCAGCAGCAAGAAGACAGGTTTGTTGGGGCCTGCTGATGACTCTGTTCAGACAGCCCAGTAACAGCCAGTGTTTCGGTGAGAGAATTCCACATCCAGGGAGCCACCTGGAGAAGCCGGACAGTGCCTATCATTTGTGGTGAACTGTATTATTGTTCAATGATCTATCAGACATTAGTATGACACTTTATTCCAAGTACAGTTCCTGAGATGCTGAGGAGCCCACCAGTCTAGTGACTTTGTTCCAGACATCCCAGTTGGTGTGATGCAAGTGTTGCTGTGGACCAGACCCAGAGACAGATTAATGTATCAGAGCTCAGTGCCTGGTTCCTAGATTCACTATTCTCACATGTGCCATGATGACAATGGCGGCTCTCTGTGAATCTGAGTGTCAATCACATCTAATATGTCTGTGGTTGCTTAATGTCATTGATTCCATTGAATTCTTTTTTCCTGATTCATGATATATATGTTGAACTTATTACATGTCTTTGGAATTTTTCAATACTGAATTTAGTGTCCATCCTTTATTGTTCTTAGCTGTCTGGAGTGTATGTATAAATATTTTAGATCTTATTCTGTGTTAACATGACTATGATAGTAGACTATCTAGTCTGGGAGCTATTTTCTTGTATTAGTGGAGATGTCTGGCCAAGCTGCGCCTAGGAGTATATATTCTGTAGTGCCATAACTTGTGTTGCCCCACCCCTGAAATAGGTTGGATGTGTATAGTGGCTGCGGGATTCTGCCTAGACCATTACGAGCCAACATTATAAGATTAATACTATTTCAGTGCTGTTGGTTCATTAGGAGAAATCCTTAACTAGGCACGTGACACGCGCATTATGTGACACACCGTACTGAAAGTGAAAACATGAAATACAGCACTATTCATTTTTACTGATAATATGTAATGGCCGACTCTTTTGTTTATTTATAGATAAACTGGCTACTGGAAATTCTACAGTACTAAACAATATGCTAAAACAATACAGAAACATGTACAACTTTGAGGTTATATTTGTCCATGCTAGGCCAAACAATGTGGATAGTTTATGTATGCCAAACAAAATTCCACTTATGGATAGATGTGACAAGATATAAGAGTACTGTCATTGAATTACAAATGAACCGAATGTACTATACTATACTATGCAATATCAGTGACTCTCAACTTGTTCACACAAACAGCCCGCCAAAACGGGGAAAAAACTGTTCTGCAGCTCACTTGACATCCAAACAAACAAAAAACAAAAATGATGTAGATGGCAGTTTTTCGCTAAAATGATATCTGCTGTGCTTAGAGGTCAGAAAATCTTATATGCATAGCCAGAGTGTTGCTTCTTAAAGATGAAGCACAGCAAAAACATCCATTAAATTACTCTGTTTGGTTTTTATTGCTATAATGGCTGAAAAAGTCTTTTAACACAAATAAAAGACACCAAAAAATGGATGTCTGATCTGATAGCTCTATAACTCAGAGATAAATGTTCTTTTCTGGTTACATGATTATTCATAAATTGTTGGCGGCCCACCAGGACCAATGTTTTAAAGTAAACTGCGCTATACTATACATAAAGGTAAAGGTAAATTCGGGAGATGTGAACCAGCGCCACTGCACACGGTTATAAACCATAAGTGCTCTGCCACCAGTACGGACAGCTGATAAGAATTGTCCGCCTTGTTGCCGTTCGCACATAACTCTGTAGCTACAGCAAAGTCCCTTCATTTACCCCATAGTATTACTCTGGTACCTATCTCCTAGAGGCCGGGTGAATCCGGGGAGCCACCCGGTTTCAAACACCGACTGTGGGCAGCAGCGAGTCGCAGCTAGATTTGAAAGTGAGCTTCTTATCGACTGGGCTAACGTGGCCCCTATACTATACATATTACTATTTAAAAATTAACAATCATTTAAGAAAATCAAAGCAATATTTCCCCTTTGTGAATCTGAACAAGGAAGACACAAATAATAAATTGCACAATTCATTGCCTGGCATATTTCGCTGTATCTTGTCAGGTGCATACTACAGTAACAATTATTTAAAATGAACCAAATAAATTAAACCTTTAAACTGAAATACAAAAATGTCTATATTCGCACATCTTCTATTTCACCAAGGTAACTGCAAAGTGATGAGCATTTCCTTCTGTCAGCATAGTTCTGGATTAAAATGGCTGATCGCTGACACTTCTGCATATTGCGGTAATCTATGGTTGGCCGAAATGTAAATAATACACCTTATAAATTCTAGGCTCATTGTAAACAAGGACGATGCATTTCAAATTATTTAAACTTGTGTCTTCCGTGTTCTAATTACTTAAGAATTGTTTGACAAGTATGCAAATGTAAAACACTGCAAATACTTTTTTTTAATGTTCAAAACTTACAAACAAAATAAAGTCCATATTTAGGCATTCGCAGCTCTTGAGCTAACAAGTCCACATTTTCAGGTGTGGGTCTGAGGAACACAATGCAGTTCAAATGTTTCATTGCTTCTCTTCCTGCTGTGTCAATGCGCTCAAATAAATAGACCTCCTTCTGTAAAATTTCTGACTGGGCATATACCATGCTCACAATGCTTGTCTGAAATAAAAGTTGATAAAGTAGTTTTTTCTTTCTTTCTTAATATCAGTATGATTTGAAAATTGTAATCAATTATATGTTACAAACAAAATTCAAAAGAAATTAAGAAATTAAATGGATAGTAGATCATTTTAAAAAAAATCAAATGGACAGTATATCATAAATGTCAGCTAACACAATTATTATAAATATATTTTTTTTTAAATTAGGATCATGTATCTTCATCCTGACATGAAATTTCAATGGCTGTCATAAAATAATGATCATAGAGCTTCCTCCTTACAATAATTATTCAATGCAGTGCTTTCAAATATGTTTCTTTCATGTTTATTGTTACTTTTGCATGTGTCCATGCAATTAGTCCAGCTGTCATACAATTCTAATGGGTCAGTATGTACATTATGTGACCACTACTTATACACATCAATTAAGCATTTCTGTCTTTCAGCTATTTTTTCATCGAAGCAACTCACTCACTGTGTTTACTGAAATATGTTTATTTTAGTATCCAGAAGCCATGAGTTGTTAACCCATAGGCTCGGTATTATGGATATCGCAACCTTTTGACCTTGATTCCATTGTAAATACCGTAAATCTGGGAGAAAATGTGGCTTTTCTGCCTACCCTCGGGAGTGAACCCAGACCACAAGGAGTTCGTCACCCGCTCACCACGCAATCCGGTTTAGCCAACTACGCTAGAGAGCCGGGCTTACGGAAATATAGAAGGACATTAAGCTTTTCGGTACAAATCATGATTCACACCCCATCTAATCTGCCTGCATGATTTCGTTTTTATTCACACAAGCTGTCCTATGGGTTGGGGGGGGGGGGTGGTTGGGGGGGGGGGGGGGGGGGGGGGGGGGGGGGGGGGGGTCAGGTGTTGCTTGTTTTGAATGTTTCAAGTACATCCACCATGGACGACAGTCACCACCAACAAGCGTAAAAATACCAAAACATCAACAATTTGATACTCATGAACCATCACCCTTCGGCCCTTCCTCCTGCAGTACTTCTTCCTTGTACACAGGCACCTGTGATGCCTGAGCTACTCACAACAACACATTCCACAAATAATAGTCGTTCATAGAAAAGACAGTTGTGACAAGAAAGCGGCCTAATTTTGTCTGGAACACAATGTGTTGACCCCACTGAATGAACCTGGGACAGTTGTCGGTGCGGTGTGTATAGACATCAAAGAAGGAAATCTCATAACACTCCTAGAACATAGGACAGACCATGGGAACGAATGTGAAATCACGCAGGCAAACAAGATGGGAAGAGAATTGTGAGTTTATAGCCGGTGAATGCAAAGAAAAAGAATAGTTACTTTAGCTGTTTCTGAGTTTGGTGTTACAATGCAAAATCTTTCTATTAAAAAAAATCGACTTCTTAAAACTAGAACAATTTGAACTGAATGAGTTAAAGAAATTACAGGCTGATTCTGAAAGTGTTAATGGTTGTGAAAAAATAATTCATTAACACAAATGTTCAATCTGCCTATTTGTACGTGGTGAAGTTTGTTTAACTCTTTCAGTTCAATTCAATGCCCATTGATCAATAATCCGTGGTAAGGTTGCAAAATAGAACTTAATCCTTCCCAACCCCTAACCTAGCAGAGCATTTGTGAGTAAGACATCAAGAGGTAAACATCACAGAGGTCTAAAATACTGAAATTATAAGACCGGTAAGAAAAGAAATTATTATATACTCTATAATGAGCTACTGGGAAAGATATGAAACGTATTACGTAAATAATGGGAGAAAATTCTTTAATTCCTTGATGGGCTTCAGAAAATTAACTATAAAAATTTATGAATGAGGTCAGAGCGGATAAATTCCCAGTCAGCTGGTTAGAAGGATGTTTCTTCTTCTTCTCCTTCGTGTTCACCAGCTGTAAAATTTGGCAGAAAGTTCTTGTTGTTCATCAACTTCTGGATTGGTCCTGTTCAAGAACCTGAGTGTTGCATGTGCATTCGTTTTATAGATCTGACTCATTTGTATGCAGACTGCTGGTTCCTTGCCTCTCAGGCAGATGCACTCCGACTCCGAAGGAAGCTCCTAATCATTCGACTCTTACGACATGCTTTTAGGTAGGCAGCGGGTCTATTCTTGTTTTCTCTATAATAGGGAGACGTAACCCACACGGGGAGAGAATGATGTTTAAGAATGGTAAGTTAATGTTGACACGTTGATCCTTTAAAATAAAAACATAAAATGCATTTATCGTAATTATATGCTTTTAATAAATGACAAAGTCATATGTGTGTTAGCGATTAAAGATGACACAGCTTAGAAAAGGAGGCAAGGCCAATAATTTCAATAATATGAACCATATATGTTCATTAAATCATTTTATGAACAGAAGTTAAACAAAAGTAACGTAGCAGACAGGGTGTTTATATTCATGGGGCTTTGTGTAGGGTAACCGCCAAAGCATTCATTAAAAATAGAGTCTGAATTAAATTAACTGAGTAAATGTTAAATAACTAATCTTTGGAGTAGACTTACATAGATATTATTATGAAATTGATATAGATTCTATAATAAAATTCAGTTATGTTTTGGTTTGATTTTGGTGAGAACATCTAAAGTTGAAAACAGTTTATTTCATGTTGATTCAAAACGTGAGATCTGCCATTTCTGCAAGAATATGACTTAGTGTAGTTTGAAATGGCTAACCATATTTTTATGTGTGCCTGATCGCTAAGTACATTGTAAATAAATAATTCTCCTGTTGTAAATGTGGTGCAATAGAAATTTGCCATATTAATTTAAATCTTTTTTGGTAAAATTAAGAAACTATTATTGTCTTCTCACTCATATAATAGCAATGAACATTTGTAGCATGAAATAAATGGTTTCATTGTATTACAACTGAAATAATACATGCAGAGTGGCTAGTTAGATGTTTGTAATTTATATGCTGTTATTCTGTTTCAGCTTATTATGCAGTTTATAATAAATATATGTGTAATTCACACTAGGGGATATATTGTGGGTGTTATCATGTAACAATAATATAATGTGGGTAACAGAAGATATGTAGTTACCTTTAGAAGGTGCACTTATTATGAAAGGATTTGCATAGAAGCAAACATTCCTATAAATATGTGTTGAGTTGAGTGAGTTGAGTTAAATGACATCACAGCACTCAGATCTTTTCCATATGTTCTTCATTCCCATTCTCAGCAGCCAGTGCAGAGTTCCAATACTAATGATGCCAGTTGTAGTCTGGTTGTACATCTGTCTTGCCTTTCCTCTGAGCGCAGTGTGCCGGGCGAAACCTCTGGTCACACCCAGGTGCCTCATTCTCTCCAGCCCATAATAATCTAGTTTCTCTTCTGACTTTGTTACTTGTTCCCAAAGGGCTCTGACCACATCTGTCTTGTCAAGTATCAATTCAACACCCAGTGGTGCAGATCTAGCCAATTTGGCTGCCTGTTCATTCCCCACCATGCAGGAATGACCTGGAGAAAAGATCCAAAGTATGCTCACTACTCGTGACCTTGCAAGTGCCACTCTGCTCGAAGCAATCCTGTCTTCACCTTTTTCAGCATGGTTTCAGAGTCCGTTACAATTACGACATGTGTATGTATCTTGTTCTCTAGCAGTGACCACCTCCACCTCCATTCTCATGCTAGATGTTGTGGTATCATATGCCAGGCTGTCCTGCACTAAAGATTTTCAACTGGCTTTTGCTACAAAACCTCAGGCACTTCTCTTCCCTCTCAATACAGAACCATCTGTGTAGATAATCAGATCATCAGAACGAGAATAGCCGTGAATCAACTGTTGGACTTCCATCTCGGTAGCCTCTGCTGGCCACTCTCTGCACTCCCCGCCTAATGTGATCATGACCCTGCATAGGTCAGACTTTTACTCTGATCCACTTCTCTCCTCGCTAAATGTTCTTCAGCATGCATACTTGTCTTATTGTGTCTTCTGCTTCAGCCATCCATGATTTTCCCCTTTACAGCCTCTGACGCTTGACTGCATCGAAAGCTTCATACAGAGGGTGCTCTTTGTCTGCAGCTACTCTGAAGTATGACTCTGCAGCACCTTAAGCTTATCCGCAAGAGTCAGCAATGCAAGGATAATCGCATGTCTCTTGCACATCCCAGGATCACTCGCATAGCTTCATTCAGTATGTGCTCCAGTTTCACTAGGTGACTCTTCAAGACAGTGAGCAAACCCAGTTGATAATCACTGAGATGATTAAGTGCTAGTAAAGTGTGAAAAGCATTCTCTCCTCCATGTCCATTTCTGCCATAATCTTTAGTGCACTGAGACCTTTTTGGGCCTATGACACAACCACCTCTTTCTGTCAAAGGTGATTCCAAGGTACCCCAGTCTGCTGTCTTACTTGATGTCCCTGCCATTTATTTTCAGGCTTGGAACATCAGCTCTAACAATCCTGTTGCCCAAAGAACACCACAAGATAGTTGCCTTTTCTGGGTTGATTACAGCAGTCATCTCTGTACACCAGTCGATCACCTTATCTACTGTCCCCTGTAACTCTTGAGCTTATTTGATCCGATTTCTTTCCTGCCTATATGTGAGAATATCATCTGCAAATGTCAATATTCTACCAACTCCAGGTGTTTCCAGTTCCGCAATCTTGCTTGTAATTACAGTGAACAGCACAGATGAAATTGCAGCTCTCTGTGGTAGTACCTGGATTATAATAAATGGTTCGAAGGTCCATGAACCCAGACAGAGAGCTACCCGACAAGAATACAAAGCAGCTGCTATCCAGTTCATTAACCAAGGAGAGACTTCCTTCTCCATAAGTGCTGTCATCAAGATACTGTACCTGACTCTGTTGTAAGCATCTTCTAAATCAAGTGCCGCTAACACCGTTTCCTGTCTGTTCTGGAAACCTCTGAGGGCATCAAAGGCAAAAGTGGCTGCATTTGACCAAGTAATCTTCCCTGGCCAGTAACTTTCCAAACCTCCTGGAAGGATCTTTCTCTGTTCCAAAAATTCTTGTAGCTTACTGC